GAAATATATGAAAGTTTCATTTTTATCATTACATTATGGAAAATAATGACCTTTATCACAATATGCTAATTTTTTGAGAAGGACCTGTACACACTAGTGTTGTTCGATACCAGGATTTTATTGTCCAATACAATACCGGGGAAAATCCATGCAAGTATCGGTGGTATCGATGCCAAAACTGATACTTTTTGCAAATATGCCTAATGTGTCTGGTAAACCTAAAAAAGTAGTGTATTAAAATCAAAGTTGCATAAAGATTGCAGGACAAAGTAATTTATTTATTTTAATCAGGAGTATGTTGATGCAGTGGCCTCATCAGAGTTCACCAAGGCTGTTTTTTCACCATTGCTCTGTATAATTTGATGACACCTGGTTCATGTAATCCACTTTAAATTATCATTTCTTTATGAAACCATACCTGAATAAATCTAAGCTTTTTTTGCCCATGTGAGATTATCTCAGTGATGCACATATTATTACTCCAAACTGAACTCATGCAGGGGCACCACGGTGGTGCAACTGGTAGAGCTGCTGCCTCTCAGCCTGCAGGTCCCTGGTTCAAACCCCGGTCCAGGGGCCTTTCTGGGTGGAGTTTGCATGTTCTCTCCGTGCATGCGTGGGTTTTCTCCGGGTGCTCCGGTTTCCTCCCACAGACCAAAAACATGCATGTTAGACTGATTGGTAACTAAATTGTCCCTAGGTGTGAATGAGAGAGTGAATGGTTGTTTGTCTCGTTTGTCTCTATGTGTCCCTGTGATGGACTGGAGACCCGTCCAGGGTGTCCCCCGCCCCTCGCACAGTGATTGCTGGACATGGGCACCGGCGACCCCCGTGACCCAAAATGGAATAAGCGGGTAAAGATGATGGATGGATGGATGGATTAATTTGAACATCTCCAACTGCCACAGTTCTTAGCACTGCTGAAAGCTCCACATTTCCTCCCTCTGGACCTGGATAGTCCTGCATCCCTGAGGGACTCCTCCAGAGCAGCAGCACCTGACTCTTTGCTCTCCTCCTCTGTCCACCTCATCAATGTCTCATATTCCGTGTTGTGATTTAACAGGAAGTGTTTTACAAGGTTTGTTGTGTTGCTACAGCGCTTTACAGATTTTCCACAAACCTCACAAACCACTTCTTGGCTGTTTCTGGAGCTGAAATAACTCCACAACACTTTGACTCTGTTAAACTCTGCTGCTGTGTCTACACTGACTGACGAGCAGCGTGCCGCTTCGCTTAAACGCATTACGCATTTACTCGGGTGGAAGAAAAAGTAGTTCCCTCCGTGTATCATTTAGACAAGATCTCAATAGTTTAGTTACTTTCCACCATCTTCCTGTTAATGATATGCATTACCTGAAATGAGTGAAGTATCAAAAGTATCGATAGTTTGATTTAAACATCGATTCTAGAGCGAAACGTTATGGCATCGATGGCATCGATATTTTAGTATCGATCCGCACATCACTAATACACACACAACAAAGAAACAATTCTTCAGCTTTCTAAAACTCACAGTGGAGCTTTTAGTATGGTAACCAGTCATTTTCCCTTTGAATTTACACCTTGCATGTGACTAAAACATCTCTCTCAAAGTCCTGTTGCCTTTTTTCATTTTTAGGGTTTGCCATGTCTGGCAAAACTGAAAATCTACACGTGCACACAGCCCATCACTGAATGTTCTTCAGTTTGTGTGTTCTTTGCACTCCGCAGCTCTGGCATCGAGCTGGTAAACGCCGCAGCGCTGTTCTTCCTCCTCTTGTTGAACCTGCTGCTTGTCAGACGCCAGGAGAGTTTGAAGAAGACTGAGATGGTCCGCCGCCTCAAAGGCATCACCACACAGCTCAGTGGTGAGTCACGAAGGCTCAATCCTGTGACTGCAGCAGATTTTTAGGTTTAGTGCTTCTTGTTAAAGTTATTACATGGTAATCTTTAATTATTTTTTCTTTTCTGGGCTTCAATTAAAGCACAAAAACATATGTAAGCTTTGTCTAATGATGCTAATAATTTTTATTTTGTTTTAATTTGTTTTTTCTAGACAGTTTTTATGAAATTGGGACTTTATGCAGCCAGATCTGTGTGCTGTACCAGCTGTTCTCAACCTTATTTTCCAGAAACCATTGACTTGTATCTACAACAAAAGCTGTACCTGTCTTGACAAATTAAAGCTGTTGTTTGTTTTCCTGGAAATATTTTGTTGTATCAGTTTAAAGGCAGGTGAACTTAGGTCTGTCATGATAACACATTTTACTGGGCAATTAACTGTCTCAGAAATTATTGCGATAAATGATAATATTGTTTGAAATTTGACAATAATTAGTAATTGTCGTTAAATTTAAGAAGAAATGTTTAATTTGTTTTACATGTGGTACCTTTTTTGACCACAAGATGGCAGTATAAGACTATTTGAACCGAAGGATTGATAGTGAGAGAGGAGCAGCGTGTCTCTTGAAGAAAAATGGGAGGGAGGCCCTCTGACGTGACATGGGCTGTCTCTCTTTGGTTCTCAAAATGGTGGATGCTCATGTGGTTTGAGCTCTTAAGCAGAGCATTTTTCACACAAAGCTTTTAATAAAAAATATGTAAATAAAAGTTCTCTGCTTCTTTTTTCAGAGAAAAACAACTTTTTACTCGAAGGCACGGGTTTCAACCGTGAATTTTGGAGCTTCGACAAGACGGAGGTTTTTTCCCGAGGTCGGCCTGTTAGCTTAGCTTGTAGTTTAACTTCTCAGCTTAGCTGCTTTTAATGATCCAAAAACGTGATTTTAGACAGTTAAAATGGATTTTAAAGAGAAAGGGAGGGGTCAGTGAAGAGCGCCGGAGTTGAGCCTTTTGTCATCCAGTGTCTTCAGTAGAAAGAGAGAGACACAAAGAAACGATAAAGCCGATAAATGAAAACAAGGTCGATAATTTTCATTTATCATGTGATTATTTGAGTTATTGTTTATTGTGACAGGCCTAGGTGAACTCTGAGTTCTTGTAAGTCCTCTTGCTGAAAATGTAGAAGTTGAACGACTCTTGACAGAGCTTAAATGGGGGGGGGGGGGTTCTGCAGGGGTCCATCCTGAGTCCCCTCCTATTCTCTTTATACCTGCTGCCACTTGGTGCTATTTTCCGGAAACACAACATGCCCTTCCACTTTTATGCCGATGACTGTCAAATTTACTTCCCCGTAAGACACAATGGCACATGCTCTATTCAACCTCTGCTCGACTGCCTGGCTGACATCAGGGACTGGATGGCTTTAAACTTCTTAAGTTTCAATGAAAAGACGTCTGAAGTCATGTTGTTTCCTCCCAATGACACGATCACAAACCACTGCATCGACCTTTCCGCTCTAACCCTGTCAGAAAAACAAAGAGTCACTAATCTGGGCGTGATAATGGACCCTTCCCTGAAACTTAACAATCAAGTAAACATGATCGTTAAATCATGTTTCTTCCAACTGAGGCGGCTGTCTAAACTGAAGCCCATATTGTCCAAAAATAACCTGGAGGCAGTAATACATGCATTCATTACATCTAGGCTTGATTACTGCAATTCACTCCTGTTTGGTATCAGTCAGACCTCCATTGCACGACTACAACTGGTCCAGAATGCAGCAGCCCGATTTTTAAACAGTACAGGCAAAAGAGAGCACATTACATCAGTTTTGGCCTCACTGCACTGGTTACCGGTTCACCTTCGAATCCAGCTCAAAATACTCCTGTATGTCTACACATAGCACATAGACATAGATGCGCATAACACATAGACATAGATGCACATAGCACATAGACATAGATGCACATAGCACATAGACATAGATGCACATAGCACATAGACATAGATGCACATAGCACATAGACATAGATGCACATAACACATAGACATAGATGCACATAGCACATAGACATAGATGCACATAGACATAGATGCACATAGACATAGATGTACATAGCCAGATGACTTGTTCAGATTACCGTCATTCTTGACACTACATCTGTTTGCTGCTCTCATTTTGTCTGTAGAGTTCAGTTTCAGTCAGAGCTAAGCTTGTGTTTTTTTCCCAGTTTATCCCTTGCATATACAGTTTTCTTGCTGTCATTGTTTCATGTCGACGTTAAACTCGGTGACCACCAAGCAATATGCAGTCTTGGTTTAAACAAAGCATCAAATGAAACCTTTTTGTCTGAGGCACCTTTTGTAATTTAGTTACTTGAGTCACTTCAGGTCACTGAAGTCACTGAGGTCACGGTCACCTGTAACTTCAGGTCTAGGAAGAAGATGGTGGAGGCGTATTTACTCTTGTTCTAATTTGTTTGAAGAATACTATCCCTTCTAATGGAAAACAGATAAATGTGGTTCAACTTTAAACAAGTCTGGTGATTGTGAACCAATAGGTAGGAAATCTATAGCCCACAAAAACTGTCAGGAGTTCCAAATATTTGTAGCTCTCAAAAAAAATATCTCAGTTTGGTTGATTAGTGCTTTTTTTCCATCTCTTGTAAAAATATGTCAATTTTCAACTGTTGTCAATGGTACAATGAATGACCTTAAATATTTTAGTGATTTTTCTTTCTTAAGATAGTGTCAAGATCAATGGGATATAGAGCTACTCAAGGTGTTGGTCTTCAATTATTTGATAATCATGGAAATAACTACATATTCTTAATTAAGCATTAGCTTCATTAAGTTCATTTTCCCCCCACTAGTGACCCTGTGGCTATATTCATTAAGATTTATTGCACAGTATTCACCTTCCCCTGTTGGTTCTGTCCATTTTTAAATCTAGACTATCTGTCAGGGTGTGTGGGTGAAGTGCAGTGGCCTTCATCAGTCTACCCGGACCTGTTCATCCCCTCGTCCTCCTCATGGTCTCTTCAGTGGACCTATCGTGACTCTCAGCTGGTTAACCTGCCCGTCAGTCTGCTGGTGGAAGGAGATATCATTGCTCTGAGACCTGGCCAGGAGGCGTTTGCATCCCTCAGAGGCATCAAGGTGACACTGAAGCTGCTGTGCTGTTTATTCATACAATATCCATTAAGCAACTGATCCACTTGTGGAGTTGAGTGTTGTTTAGCTCATTTACTCATTAATGTCTTGAGATAAAATTTGCAGAGTTTTTACAAATCCTTAAAAAATCTGGAATTAGTTTTGAGTATTTTCCAGGCCAGGATTAGTAGTTAAAATCATTTGTGTTTCTACACATTTTGCCTTTATTTTCATTTTTAATCTAAAAATCTCTATAAATATTTTAGTCAAACAAGAAGAAACCTTTTTAGATTTATTACAGACATTTACATTTTTCTATCTTGATGCTGCTGATTTATTTCATGCTGCTGTGCTCATTCATCCTCATCTGCTCACACAGACTCATGTTCGTGCTGCTGTTCACTGTATTGTTTTTGTTCTACTAGTTCTATTGTATTCTTAGATAAGCGTGTTTCTTAGTTCATATCTTAGATCTTGTTACTGTTTTTCTTTACAATTTATACTTTTGTTGGATGTAACTGGGACCCTGTGTACATAATTTTGTTCCACCACGTGTACCACATGTGGTACCAATGACATTAAAGAAATTTTGACTTTGTTTTGAACAAATAAAAATCAAAAGTTATTCCTATTTGCAGCATCCTGCACATTTCAAATTTAAAAACAATTTAAATAACATTTAAACTCCTTTTAAGTTTAAAAAGATGCTATAACTTCAGACTGTGGCTCACCAGCTTTATGCAGCTTGTCAGTGAATCATTATCTCAGACCCTAGAGCATTTATGGATTTTTATTTAATACTAATATAATTTTAAATTCCCTGTAGAAACAGACCACCAATCCCATACTCACGAAGCAGCAGCCACCCCAATTAATCCTTGAAGAACACAATGGAATGTCTTCTCCAAATCCACAAAACATATGTAGACTGGCTGGGCAAACTCTCATGATCCCTTAAGGGCTCTAGTGAGGGTAAAGAGTTGGTGCAGTGTTACACAGCCAGGGTAAATCCAGCATTGTTCCTTTTGAATCTGAGTTTTGACCATCAGCTGGACTTTCTTCTCCAGCACCCCTAAATTAACCTAAACAGAAAGGTTGTACAGAAGCCCCTCTGGCAAGAAAGAAAATCCACTGGCACTGTCCCTGATGTCCACCTGATTTTGCAAGGACGTGTCAACCAAGACAGCCCAGCAACATACTGAGCATTGAGGAACTCGAGGCAGATCTCGTCCTCACCTGGAGCTTTTTTACTACCTCTGCAACCTTAATTCCACTTATGGATGGACCCTAACCCCCAAGTGCCCCAACTCCGCTTCCTCCATGGAAAACATTCTCGTGAGATTCAGAAATTCTCATAAGTATTTCTTCACTACTTGTCAACCTCACTAGTCGAGGTCAACAGTATTCACAGTGTTGATAAAGTTCTGTTTTTCCCTTCTCAGATGCCTGATGGACATCCTCTCACCACCAGGTTAGAAAATGGCCACTGCAAGAGGCACAGACATTCTTGTGGTCACAGTTCAAGGCAGCAGCCTTGACAATGTAGGAACAAAACAGGGTCCACTCGGACTGAATGTCTCCCATCATTGCTGGGATGCATTTGAATCTCTCTTGGAGATGGGAGTTGAAGACCCATTAGATAGGTTCTTCCGCCAGGCATTCCCAACAAACCCTTACTTGGATCTACTGGTTCACTCCAGCATCTTACCCTGCCATCTGATTTAACTTACCTTCTGTTGGTGATCCGTTGGCAGTTCAGCTCCTCTGTTCACCTGAGTGTCCAAAACATAAAGCTGCTGGTCAGACGAAATAACTACAAAGTCTTTTATTGATCTGCAGCCTGGCATGTGTTTGTGATGGATAACCTCATCCCAAACACCATCCATAAGTTGGTCTACACCAGTCAGAGCCTCTCATCTTGAACAACTGCAGAGTGGAACAGGGTCCAGCCTATATCAATGAAATTGAGAAACCTTCCCCACTAGAGAGGTGGCATTCCATGTCTCAAGAGCCAGCTTTGGTTAACTATGGTCAGAGCGCCAAAGCCTCTGCCTTTGGCTGCTACCCATGGCACCATGCACCCAACTGTAATTGTATAGCCCCTTATGCAGGTGGTTGGCCCACGGAAGCCAAACCCATGTAACTCATTTGGGCTGAGCCCAACCAAACCTCGTGGGTAAAAGCCCAGTCACTAGGCACTTGCCAACAAGCTCCTCCCTCTGGCCTGGATCCAGAGTGGGGCCCGGTAACAAACGTCTGGGCAAGAGACAGAATCTGTGTCCTAGGACCAATCTGCCTTGGGAGGCCCTACAAGGGGCAATTTCCACTGACAGCATAGGTCCTAGGAAAATTAGGTTAAAAAAACACAAACAACTGTACTTCTATTCTGAAGCTGAAGACGTTTTGCTTCCCATCCAGGAAGCTTTATAGTAAGGCCTCCTGGATGGGAAGTCCTTGTAGAAGTCCAGTTGTTTTTGTTTTTTTAAGTTTTTTTTTTGTTGTTGATCATGACCTGGATGACTGAGAATCTTCACCAGCATAGCTTCTAGAAACATTCAGACACAAACTTCTCTTTGGTCTAGTCTGAACTTATTTTCTTAAACATTTACAACCTCTTAAATAACAGGTCTCACTTGTAAATGAGTCTCCGATGCTCAGCGTGATTTAGACAGGTAAATCCCAATATTATTTTGAATACCCTAGTGTAGCTAAATAACAGCAGTGTTTCCCCTAGTTAACTTGCCATAGCGGGGTGCTCATCTCATCCATGATTTTTGCTGATGGGGGGGACGGAGACATGTCTGAGCGCAGCTTGTACTAACAGTTTTTGAGCAGTGGCGGGAGGCGTTCAACATGAGGGAAGAGGCAATGTGAGTGCTGCCTTTGCCTTTTTAGCTAGAGAGCCTGTATTTTGCACCGCTATCTTAGTGATATGTCAGTGGCGGGTGGGGGTGGGAGGGGCAAGTTCAGTTTTGTAGGCGGGGTGCTCAGTTTTGTTGGCGGGTGGGGCACCCTGCCTGTATAATGGTAGGGGAAACACTGAACAGCATTACCTCCCACTCCTACTGTTAAAGGACTTAAGAGAATCTGATTTACCGGTAGTGTCTTTAGTCACTTTGGACACCTTGTTACTAAATAAGAAGCAGATTTAAATAAAATATGCTTAACTATCAATTTGGTAACTTCTGTCTCCAAACCAAAACTCTGACTGCCCTCTCTGTTGCTGTCAGGAAGTTGTTGCTCAGTAAACTTTTCTGTTGGCTGAGACTGAGGTTGGTTCTTTTTTTTTTAAGGATGATGAACACATAGTGTTGGAACCAGGAGATTTATTCCCCCCATTTTCTCCTCCACCTTCCCCTCGTGCCAAGGACAGAGGACCTGAGAGCCCCCATCAACACCGCCTCTTTAGAGTGGTCCGGACTCCAGTTCTGGACCTTGTCCAGTAAGGAATATTTATTCCAATCTATAATGTTTTATACTAAGTAAACATTAAATTTTTGTTTGTTGAAGTATTACGATGTTCTGGCTTTTAAGTGATTCTCTTGTTGTTTTCTAGTTTTATACAGACTGAAGTACTGAAATTTAAATGTACTGATTTTTTCAACAGAAATAGTTTGGAGCAGGCGCTGTCCCGACCTGTCACAGTGCTGGATAATGAGCGCTTTACTGTACAGTCTATCATTACAAAACTCATCTGTCCTGTTGTTCTGGTGAGAACTTGAATGTTCTGTTTTTTCTATTTATTTTTTTTATTTACATGGCATTTAGAATAACAAATATGATGTGACTCTGTCTCTTCTTCCATCTTACAGGTGGCGTTCCTGCTTGTAAACACTATTCGTTTTATTTGTGGTGCCCCTAGCCTCACACCTGCCATGTACAATTTTCTTCAGCTTCAGGTAAATTTCATCCATATTACAAATGTGCATCTGAAATACATTTCTCTCATCTGAATTTTATCCAAGAGGTTTTCTGTGCAGTGTCAGTGAGAGTTAGGGGAGATAAATAATTTTGTTAGCTCAAGTGTTCCTTTTTTATGGTGGGAGATCAACAGCTTGGATAAAATAAATCATGCATCCTTTAACGAACACCGACAATAGAAGTTAATCACCCAAACAAAGTGATGAAAGTGAAATAAAACTGCACAAGTTGAAAGGATGTGAATCAAATAATAATTATCAAATGTGTGTGTGTATAAATATAAACTGTGACCACTCCAATTATTTGAGGAATCTATGCTTTCTACTTTTTAAATTGCTTAAAATTAGTTCCATCAAATAATTTGGGAGGCCCTTTGATTTGCCAAAGATTAATCTATGGGGGCCAAGGCCACTATTGGCCACCCCCCAACTCCGCCAATGTGTGTGGTCGTGGATAAAATTGCCTCCATTCACTGAGTTCAGTCACTTTGCGCTGTCTGGGACAAGCACAAACAAAAGTACCTCTATTTGAATTCACAGTATAACTTTTGTTCAACTGCTCAGTTCCAGTCCAGAAAAACACTAATCTTGAAAACGACAAACATTCACTATTCACTTCCCTCAGCGAAGGTGAACTTCAACATACCACTTGTTTAAAGTGGTGATTATATGAGTGTTCTTTGTCATTTGTTGGTAATTCGAGGTGGTCACTGAGCAGGTGGCGGGAACTGGATGTAAGTTGACACTTTGTTTTGCAGCTGATGGGTGTTCTGCCAATCCTGCTGTTGCTCTTTCCTGTGATGTGGGTGCTGGTAAATGCTTTTGGAGAGGCCAGGGTTCTTGCTGAGTTCAGCCGTGCATCGCCAGCAGGCCTGGTGAGAGAAACACACACACCCACACAAACACACACACACACACAGGAGGAGAAGCACGGACTCCTCCCCCTGTGATTTAACTAGACTCTTTTCTTGCCCTAGCTTGCTAAGTTCTCTGAGGATACTCTAAGCAGCTACACGGAAGTTGTTTCCTGGCAGGTATAACTTCTCACCGTTTCGCTTTACCCCTCACATGCTCGCTTGACCCCTCAGCTCCACCTAAACCTGCCTGTGTTTCCTCGCTGTGCTCACCACTTTGCAATCTCCCTCCCCACCTGTGGACTCAAGGCACAGCTTTTACCACCGCTCACCTTCAGCTCCAATGGCATCCTTAAATCTTCTTTTATGGAAACATTCAGCAACATTTTTCTGATTCAGACCACCACCTGATTTTTCATGTGTCTGTGTGTTTCCTAGTCTGTTGGCGAGTGTTCGTATATTTTATTTGAATTCTGGGATTTGGATCCACCTTTAGAAGTTAGAGCTCACTAAATAGGTTTTTCCTGCTACTTTCTTTGCCCTCACCGTGCTGCAAGCATCACTAGACTGCTCCCTTGACCTTACTGCTGCATACGATTACAAACAGGTATCACTTTGTGCTCTGTTGATTCCATGACTTTGTCACAATCACAGTAATTCCTTGATGACCAAACCACATTGCTGTACCTGTGCCCCATGTCACGAATACACTGCCGCCACACTCACCCATGCTCCACCAAGGTCTATAATATGCTGCCACCACAATGACCAGGCTAGTCTCTCAGGCTGAGACTGTTGGAAACTAGTCGGCAACTGGAATTGGTGAGAAAATAAGCAAATTTATTAAGTGTTTATTGGATGTGTCCATATTTTAAGTCAATTTCTGAAAACGATAGTCTGTTTTCATGTGCACAACTTGAAAACTGTATTGTAGCTTACTTTGGAGACCTGCTGTAAATGCCATTTAGCAACTAGTCTCAAAAGTGGCAGCTCAGTGAGATACAATATACTACCTTGGCCTTGTTGCAGATGTTTAGTTCATGCTCAAAACCTACTGTGGACCTATCATGCTTTACCCACTGTATCCTTAATTTACATCTGAAAATCTCACCAAGACCCAGCAAATACTATCCATAATCTGACTGTTTACAATTTGTTTACATTGCTGTAGTTTTGTCATCCAGTGTGAAACTGATTTTTGTTTTCCATTTTATGGATTCAGTTTCTGTTTGTACCATTACAGCAAAACATCATTCACTTTTACTGTTTTAGTCATTAAAAGAAAAGTCAGCTGCCACAGTCCACTGGTTGTTTGAATGAAAGTATCACTTTTCTGCTTTGTTCAAGATAAAGTCACAACAACAACAATATGTACAGTACAGAAAGAGATGGTCCAGTTTGTGCCTGGCTCTCCATGTTTGTTTGTCTGCCTCCACTGCATGACTGGAAATCAAACTATTTGTTGGTGATTCTCTAAGGGTTCCTCTCCTTGTATCCTCTGTTTATCTATCATGGATTTGACATGTAAACATTTTAATTTTAGACCTTCAAATTAAAGCTAAAACCCAACATCAAAACCACAGTTTAGTTGTTAAAATATTGAGATGCTTGTATTTTTGGTCTGGTCTAACACTTGAAATCGCTTTACTGTAGCCTGATCCAAACTTGTGTTGAGCCGTCACAGGAAGGGGACCAGACTCTTCTTTCATCCAAACCAGGAATATACTCTAAAGGAATATGACCCTACAACTACATTGAAGTGTAAAGAAATAATGTTACATATCTGACCTGTATTTATTATTTTATGCATGCATTTATTTCTAAATTTCTGTATTTTTAGTCTGTTTCACAATGTTTGCTTTTTTAGACTTACGCAGTTACTTTTTTTTATAGTTTCTTAATTTTCTTCCTATTTTGTCCATATTGCTTTTTGTATTTGTTATTTTTCAAGGTTCAAGGTGACTTTATTGTCATTCGCATCACATGTGGTACATGAGGTGGAATGAAATTATGTACTCAAGTTATCCTGATGCATGCTCAATAATCCAGGTAGAAAAATCTAAAAAAACTTGTCTGGTCCTCTGAACATTCAAAAAACAAAACAACAAAATTTTTTAGAAACGTTTCATCTTTCATCTGAAAAACTTCTTCAGTCTTCTTCAGTCTTTTGGATGAAAGACGAAACATTTCTACTTTTTGTTTTGTTTTGTTTTTTGAATGTCCAGAGGACCAGACTTAACTTTTATAGATGTAGTCAAGTTCTTCATTACACTCAAAAATAGCAAAAAATATAAAGTATAAAAAAGAAACTGTATACAGTAGCCCCCCGCTACTTCGCGGTTTGCTTATCACAGACTCTCTCTATCACGGGTTTTCAAAATAAGATTGGACATGACACACAATTGGCTGATTGATAGATGAGCCACACGATCAGCTTGGAATTTTTATAAAAAAAATTTTTTAAAACTATTTAGCACCTGCTGCACCTTTGTATAGCCCATACTGCAGGATAAACTTCCTGCTGCAGCTGATCAGCTGTTCTGTATGCAGATCTCAGAAGTGGGCGTGGCCAAGCGCACTTGCAGGTGGCAAAGAGCAGAGGAGGCAGGGAGCTGATATCATGACATTCTGTGCT